TGAGAGAGAGAGAGAGAGAGAGAGAGAGAGAGAGAGAGAGAGAGAGAGAGAGAGATGAAAGATAGCTCTTCTGGTTTCATTTGCTTTTTCTTTCTGAATTTTGATTACCTCTTCTTGCAGATTTTTAATCACTGGCGTGATGAATTTATTTAAAATGTATTATTCACATAACTCTGAAAATTTCTTAAATCTGTGTTCAAATCCAAATTGCAAAATACTGCATACTGTGAAGAATGTGGTAAATAAACACATTTAGAAAAGCCCCTCAGTGTGTGTAGTGTATGCATGTGTGGAGACTGCTCTTTCTGCGCTCGGGTGGGGCACCTTCTCGTGCACACACACACAAGCTCAAGGGAATACAAGTCAATCTATAAAGTTAAACATTATAACAAAAGCACAGTCTGGGATCCAAGCAGAGGAGTTTGAAGTGGGCTTACTGTATACAGAGGAGTGGGGTCATGTTTTGTACTCAGAACTAAGACTGTCATGAATTCACATGATACAACTTGGGCGAGCGCTGGTACAAACATTGGATTCATCACACAGTTCACTTTTGAAGTAAGTTTTGGTTGTTGCAGATTCAGATTTTTTTTTTTTTTTTTTTTTTTTTTTTTTTTTTCTCCAGCCCACATTCAGTTACACAAGACTGTTTGGGACCACAATGCATAATTTTAGAAGTTTTAGGTGCATCCTCAGCACCACAGACAAGGGTAAACCAGCAGGCATGGGGCATCACTCAGAGGCAGAAGCAGAAGGGCTGTAGGTTCAAGGCTAGCAGAGTATATATACTATAAGTCTACTATAAGTCTGCTGGGGCAACTTGATGAGAATTTTGTCTCAAAGGGAGGTGAAGAGGAGTAAGCTAACAGATAGACCCTAGTTCTGTCATCCAAGTAACTTCTCTGCATTCATTATTATTTCATGGTCATAAGTGTCGTTCATCTTATTTTCAAGCAGCTTTACATGCCAACAGTAGCTGAAGGAGAAGACAATAACTGAGCAGGACTTTCTTAGCAGGCTAATGGAGAGAATTACATTACAGGTTACAAATACATAAACCGGGTCCTATTTATATTTGCAGAGGCATTGCCTCTATCTTTTTCTCTACTGTGGCCATTTTTGGGAGGTGAGGTGGGGCTGGGGGTTGAGACAGTTTCCACAGCCCAAGCCACAATCTTCCAAGTGCTAAGATTACTGAGCTACCAATTGAACCTGCCAGCACGTGACTCTTCCCAGTCGCCACACCTGAAATAAACGTTTATTCTCCACAGATTGCCCACTTTGTACTCTGTTGTAGCAGCACAAGTGTTCTGGCATTTTCTCTGCAAACAGTCTAATGATCATAGGACTGCATCATAATCAGTAGTTGACATTACAATATTCTTTCCATTGAAGCACCTACGGGAGCAACAGGCACAAAGTAACTCCACTTACCCTCTATGACCTAAGCTACAGCGCAAGGCAGTGAGATGGGAGAAGTCGATTCAGAAATTAAGTGTGCCTGGCTATTCATTGCCATGCAGAGGCAAGAAACAGCATGGGGGTTGGGGGGGGGATTTATGGAAGTTTAGGGTTCATTTGGCCTAAACCAAGTTTGTGGATCTGATTTATAAAGCCGAGCTAACAGTTTGTAAATTTAACAAGAGAAAGCTCTCGTGGGATTCCATATTCAAGGCTGGCATGACTGCTCACTTTGCTCTTGGTAGAAGCCTGATTTACTGTACAGTGAGAAAGTTATTATTCTCATAGTTTTTAGCACTCGCTAAGTACAGCGCCTTGCAATGAGGATAAGCTATTTCTCCCTGTGGGCACATCAGGTGCAAACTAAGTAATAATTCAGACCTAGGGCACAAGGCTGTGGCTTTGTTCCCAAGCGCTGTAAAGCACACGCAAACCCACACATACAATACACATCACTACTGCCACCAACTAGACAACATGAGACATTTCAACTTTAGAGCCCGTGGGAAGTATTTGGCTAAACTGTAATTAAATTCCCTAGATACTAAGAAGCATCTCTTCTGGAAAATTCCAAATTAATTCAGAAGTGCTAATGCATGCCGGTGAACCTAGTATTCCAGGTGGAGGCAGGAGGATTTCAAAAGTTGAAGTCAACCTGGGCTACGCAGCCAACTCCTTTCTAAAAAAAAAAAAAAAAAAAAAAAAGTGCTCATTTAAATCTTTATGTTTTAATAAAGCTACATTAAATACAGATACTAGCCTGCTTCCCACTCACTGGACTCCAGATACAAGATTTGCAGGCTCACATCTGAGCACCCAAAGATGAATATGAAATCCCTGTCCACATGCTGTAAAAGTGAACTTGTAGGGCCTGGTGTGGTGTGGTGACGTAGGCCTTTAATCACAACAATTGGGAGGCAGAAGCAGGAGGATCTCTGTGAGTTTGAAGCCACACTGGATATTTAGAAAATGGGCAAAACAATAAAAACAACTCAACAGAAACAACCCCAACCAATACCCCCTCCTATGGGCGGGGAGGTCTCCAAGGGAGATGGGTGGAGGGTTGGGCCTGCGCTTGCGCAGTCCGCAGCCGGAAGCGCGTCCACTAGAGACTGTCTGGTTCCGAGACAAGAGCCCGATTAAGTGTTTGTCTTCCTTATTGCTACTACACACGACTAAAAGCACACAGAAACGGCTATATGGAGACTGTTCCATCCGTTTCTCTGTTTCCCTTCCCCTTGTTTGTGGGCG